CCTAGTTAATGCCTTCATGTCCTTCAGATTTCAACTTAAGTGCCCTTTCTTCAAGGCCCACTTCTCTGACTACACAGTATCAACTGGGGTGCCCTGTCATAATTTTTCTTTTACTATGCTGCCCCAGTTTTCTTTAATCAAGGATCACGAGCTCCAGAAGAGCAGCAACTGTTATCTGTTTTTATTCATTGTTGTGTCCTAGTGCCTAGGACAATCTGACACATAATTCTGTCCTTTAAAGGACCACTTAACCTTGTTAAACTGATAGTCATATAAGCCATATTACTGCCTCTGCTATTAATATCTTGAATTCAGTGAACTCCTTAATGCTTTGCTTCCCACACAGAAAGCTCTGGAAATTCAATAAAACCGTCCCTCCCACCAAAAATGCCAAAGTTCATTTAAATATTGTATAAAGCTTTGAAACCAACAAATGGTCTCTGATAAATACTCTGACATTTATAATCGCTTTGGTAAAGACATTGTCTTACTTGTATCATCAACTTTCTAATTTTTGATCACTTCCAAAATGCTTTCACATGCATTACTCAATTGATTCCCCTAACAAATCTATAAAGGTTGGTGAATATAGCTGGGGTTCCAGACACGCTGACAAATGACCAAAAGAGACTGTTACCTTAGTACGGGGCCCACGTCAAAACAAAGCCCATTCATCCCAGGAGGCAGCAGGACTATCTCCTAAGGATATCTGCAAGAAAATTATACGCATTTAAAATGCTATTTCAATTCCACAGGTTATCCATTCATCAAGCCCCTGTAGTATGCGTCTCACAAGTCTTTTTAGTGTGACATCAGGGGACATCTCACTTCCTGACTCACAGTTTGAGTCACTGTAAATGATTCCCCCAAAGAGAGCAAACAAGTGATAAAGATACATGCTGGACAACAAAAACAACCATTTATTAGACAGTCACACTGCCCTTTGTCATAATTGCTTTCAGCAGTTTGAAATATATTCTGATTAACCCCACACAGATAGGGACATGGTTCTGCATTTACTTGCCTAAAGGAAGTAACTATTTTGAAATATTCCTGATTTAACTTCTTTTTTACAAGAATTGTGAGTCAAATAAAAAACAATGTTCAGATGAGTTCTCTCACAAACACTCACTTTTGTTTAGGCCATTTCTTCAAATGTCTTCAAGTTTTATTCTAAAATGATCAAATTTCTACATAGCTGATTTTATGTGTCAACCTGGCAAGATTATGGTGACTGTTTGGTCAAACATCTGTTTTTCAAGTTGCTGTGAAGGTATTTTTTGGATGTGATTGACATTTAGAATCATTGACTTTACAGTGAGCAGAGGGCTTCCCTGGTGGCACACTGGTGGTGCCTGCCAGTGCAGGGGACACGGGCTCGAGCCCTGGTCCGGGAAGATCCCACATGCCACGGAGCAACTAAGCCCGTGCACCACAACTACTGAGCCTGTGCTCTAGAGCCCGCGAGCCACAACTACTGAGCCCGTGTGCCACAGCTACTGAAACCTGCATGCCTAGAGCCCGTGCTCTGCAACAAGAGAAGCCACCACAATGAGAAAAACACACACCAAAACAAAGAGTAGCCCCTGCTCGCCACAACTAGAGAAAGCCCGCACACAGCAACGAAGACCCAACACGGCCAAAAATAAATAAATAAAATAATTTTAAAAAAATACTCTTAAAAAAAAGTAAAATAAAGTGAGATTACCCTCCATGACACAGGTGGGCCTCATTCAATCAGTTGACGGCCTTATGAGCAAATGCTGAAGTTTCCCAAAGAAAGAGTTCTGTCTCCAGACAACACAGAAATTCTGCCTGCACTTTTATCTCAGACTCAGAACTGCAACATCAACTCTTCCCTGAATCTCCAGCCTGCCAGGTTGCCCTACAGGTTTTGGATTTGCAAGTCCCACAGTGGCAAAAGTCACCCCTCACCCCAAATTTAATAAATTTAATAAATTTAACATCCTCCACTACAACTCTGTCCAAAGCAGGTGTGTACCATCATTCAATGTATTTTCTCTTAAGCCTTTTAAAACATCTTGAGAATGCACAGAACCACACACATACAAAAAATTCATGGTCCTGGTTCTTATTTGTCATAGGATTTTTTTTTTGGTAGTATACACTTGAAAGATAGTTTTCTATAGAATATATCCATGAATATACCCTTGATTAAAGAAGAATTAGAAATGACTAAAAGAAGAATGTATTAGTCAGGGTTCTTCAGAGAAACAGAACCACCCTTATGACCTCATTTAACCTTAATTGCCTCCCTGAAATGCCTTATTTTCAAATACAGTCACATTGAAGATCAGGGCTTCAAAATATGAATTTTGAGGGGACACAGTTTGGTCCATACACACTTTAGGGAACTAGAAAAAGAAGAGCAAATTAAACCCAAAGCTAGCAGAAGGAAGGAAATAATAAGGATTAGAACAGAGATAAGTGAAATAGAGAATCAATGAAACCAAATGTCTGTTCTTAGGAAAAAATCAACAAAATTGACAAACTTTAACTAGACTGAGAAAGAAAAAAGAAGATGCAAGTAACTAAAATCAGAAATGAAAATGGGGACATTACAACCAACTTTACACAAATAAAAATAAAAGAATGCTATGAATAATTGTTCACCAATAAATTAAATGAAATTGAAAAATGTCCTAGAAACACACAAATTACCGAAACTGACTCAAGAAGGAATAGAAAAACTGCACAGACCTATAACAAGAGATTAAATCAGTGATTAAAAAACAACAACAAAAAACTAGAACTCCCAGCACAGAAAAGCTCTGGACCAGATGACCTATCATATATCTGGCAACATGTTTTTTTTAAAAAATGTATACTGTAACATATGATATGTGCATAAGAATGTATGCGGTATTACTAGTTAGTGGAAAGCACATCCTCAGTGTTTTGAGCTGACTGCCCAGTCTTGTATTTGGGTTCATAAATTTTGTATTTCTTATACTGAGGACAAACTAAGAGTTCATTTTGGCTCTGAAACTTTAAATGACATTTTGATACTCTCTGTAGCTCCAGAGATATTCCATAAGTTATACCGACTCAGTAAATGGCTTTCTTTTTTTAGATGAACTGAATATGATGACATGTTATCTTTTTCCTTGGCAAAATAAAAATAATTTCTAGCTAAAAAGGAACAGAAGAATACTACATGTTTTCAGATTAAGCCTGAGATCTAAAATGCAGTCTCAGTTAAGCTAGGCATTCATCCTCTGTGCTTTCCAAAATTCCCTTTAGATAACTAATGTGTTAAAAATAGAAAGCATTTCTTTTCTATTTCCTGTTCTCTTTCATTTTTAATAAATTTTATTGTTTTTATTGTAAAATCAATAGTCACTTCAAAAATGCAGACATATAAAATAAAAATTTTACCACCCAAAGATAACCACTTTTTTGTTATTTGACTTTCTTCTTTCTTGAGGTACATATATTTTAATTAACTGATCTCAAGTACTTTTGTACTTTGTTTTTGAAAGTGTTTTAGCACAATTTATGACCTGCATCTTTATTAGGAAACATTATTTTATTAATACAAACTAGTCTCCAACAGTAAAATACCAAATAAAAGTACATCGATCAAAAGCCAGAATCAGGGCTTCCCTGGTGGCGCAGTGGTTGAGAGTCCGCCTGCCGATGCAGGGGACACGGGTTCGTGCCACGGTTCGGGAACATCCCACATGCCGCGGAGCGGTTAGGCCCGTGAGCCATGGCCGCTGAGCCTGCGCGTCTGGAGCCTGTGCTCCGCAACGGGAGAGGCCACAACAGTGAGAGGCCCGCGTACCGCAAAAAAAACAAACAAACAAAAAAAAAAACAAAAAGCCAGAATCAAAACCTACCATCTCCATGTAAATGACAAACGGAGGATTCTGGCAAAAAGTATCACTTCTCATTTCTAAAAAGTCAAAAATTATATTCTTAAACGTAAATGTAACTACTCATCAAGATATGTTATTTGGGTTTCTTAGTCACTGAACCACACAGCAGTACCTCCTCCTGAAATTTCCTCCCCACAGTTTCACCTCGGGTGGTTCTGGCATGGGAGGATCCTCGGGGTCAATCTTTGAGCGCCTCAAATATGGAAACAGTGGGACATAGCTGAAGTCCCAGAGCCTGAGAGTGGTTCTTGGTAGACAACGTGCTTAACGACTCGCTGGTTGCAGACACACACACACAGACACACACACACACAAAGGTTGAAGTTTTCTTTACCTAGCACGTCACACTGATGGAAAAAATAGGAGACTGGTTAGATAGGAAGGAGGTCAGAGCAGAGCCTAATTACAGTAGAGAAGCAGAGCTCACAGCCAGCGCCAGTAAACGGTGGCTGAATTGGACCAGATGGAATCTGTTCCTCTCGTTCATATAAATACAGATGACGTTCATCCCAACAGGGCCCCTTCCAATCTACAGACCCTGCCGCCACCTTAAGTTTAAGTTCATCCTCAATCACCTGGCACTCAGGAAGCCTTCACCTACGTACCACCGACTTTGTAGCCAGAATAAATTTGTATACTCTCTGAGCTGCTTGTGTCCTCAGGAAAACAAAAACAAACAAACCAGAAACCCAGCATGGGCTTCACAGAGTCGGGAAGCTTAAATGAGATAGGATAAGGCGTCAGGCACCTGGGAGGCACTCCGGAAAGGAGAGATGCTCCTTGTTCCGTCAAGTTGGAAGCCCCAAGGGATGGTCTACTCTGCAGGCACAGAGGGCTTCATTAGAACTGCCTCCTCGTGGCTGTGAAGACTTGAGCGTAACATGCGAACAGCCAGGAATATGGAACTTCAAAAAACTCTACGACTGCTTCGCAGCTCGGGAGGAGCGGGCGAAGTCGCAGCTGCCCAGTGACGCGCAATCCCCGAGCAGACAGCTTCCGCTTTAAGCACCTGCTCGCCGGCCTCGAACAGAGCCTACCGGAAGTCGCGGACGGAGCCCACCGGAAGTTGCGGACGGCGCCCCCCGGAAGTTGCTGAGCGCAGCCACGGCGTCAGGTTCCTCCGCCGAGCGCGGACCAGTGTCCCTCGGCTCGGCCTCCAGTCTACTCCAAATTTCCTCTCTGGCCGCCGCCCGTCTGTTTCAGGCCTCCCGGATGCTGGTTTTCCGGCCAGTAGTCCCGGCGACGCTGCCTGCCGGCGCTCGGGCATAAGCCTGGCCTGGACTGCGGAGGCCAGACGCGCCGCCGCCGGGACCCCCGGGACCCGCCCCCGAGCGACACGCACTTCCGGCGGCGCGGCGGCGGGGACGGAACCCGGCGGGCGGTGATGGACGCGCTGGCGGTCATGATGCAGGATCTCCTGACCCAGAACCGTGCGCTGCGCAGGGAGAACAAAGAGCTCATGGACCAGGTGCGGCGGCTCCTGTGCGAGAAAGCCAACCTGCTGGCCCAGGTGCGCCCGCCCGCCTGCCCAATGGCTTTTCCCGAGACGTTCAAAGGCGACTCCGCCCGGCTTCCCGAGTTTTTGATCCAAGCGGCCTCTTACATGAGGTTCTTTGAGGCCAGGTTCTCGAAAGACACCCTCAAGGTGGCGTTTTTAATCAGCCGCCTCAGTGGGCCGGCCGAGGAGTGGGTTGTTCCCTACATCGAGAGGGAGAGCCCCATCCTGTCGCATTACGAGGGCTTCGTGGACGCGCTGAAGCGGGCCTTTGGCAGGAACGGGTAGGAAACGGCAGTGCTGCGAGCCCCACGGACCGGGTCGTGCTTGGCCGTGACTCACAAAGAGTTCTCCAGTACCCACCTGCTGGGCCCGACCCTTGCGAGGAAGCCCCGCTGCCTTTGCACTCGGCCCAGCAACGCGGCCACTGGCGGGGGGCCTGTTAGCAATTGAACGGACCACCCCGAATCGCGCTCCTGCCGTCTCTGAAAACTGCTGCTGCCCGCCTTGGACGATCTGTGCCAGCTTGGGAAGTGCTTGAGCTTGTCACATGCCCGGGGACACCGATTTGGAGACCTCAGGTCCGGAGACAGCTGCCAGGGTTCGCGTGGCTGGCAGACAAATATTGACACTCCTGCCCCAGGAACCTGTTTTTCACATACTTCCTTTCTGTTCTGAAACCACAACAGGCTCAGAGACTGTGCCTTTTATCAGAAAAGTCTAGGCGCTGAACAGTATATGAAAAACGCATTTACTTTTAAAATGTAAATATATATCTTACAGCACCATATGTTGGGGACTGTACTTGGGGTTACAGGAGAAACAGATGAATAAGACCAAATGTATATCTCCACAGGAACATAACTGTGAGAAAAAATTCTAAGTGCATATTCTGATGTCTGGTAAAATAATGCTTTCATGTGCAGAGAATGGCATATTTGCTTCTTGTTTTATGGCCTTTTCACATCACAGTTTTAAAATACATGTTAAAAACATGTGCAGCTTACAAAGGAGGCAGAAAACCCAACTTGAGCAATTTCTTTGCTCCTGAATCTGGCAAAGACGGTGTTTTTAAGGATGGGTGCAACTTGTAGCAAAAAGAAGGGGTAGCAGGGAATGGTGCATTCTTTGAGCTGTATCCACTCACCTTTATTCCCCTGTATTAAATGACTTGGCTGCTTCCTTTTTTGTAAATTACAGTTTTGGCCTCAGTTTTTCTTTTGTAATTAAAGGCATTACTTGATCATTAAAATCTGGTTCAGAATTCTGTGATTCTCTTAGGGCCAAAAAAGGGGAAGCCAAAGGAAGGTCTGAGCCTTCATGTCAAACAAAGTAGTTCTTAAAATCCTCTCAGGACCAAAATCTATAGCTGCCTTTCCTTACATGTCCATAGGTTTTGTCATTCTGGTGGTCAATATAGCCTCACTGAAATAGCTTGAATTCTAGTCACATCTTCATACTAAGAAAAACTCATCACTGCCCCCTTGATGGACAGTTCACATACCTAAGGACTGAACTGAAAACCTCTAATTATATTTTTGCACGATTTGATTAAAAGGTTATAGCAATCTAAAATATTACGCAAATGAACATATCTATGAAGCAGACTCAGACATAAAGAACAGACTTGTGGTTGCAAAGGGGGAGGGGGGTCGGGGAGGAAAGGATTGGGAGTTTGGGATTAGATGCAAACTAGTATATATAGAATGGATAAACAACGAGGTCTTACTGTATAGCACAAGGAACTAAATATCCTGTGATACACCATAATGGAAAATAGTATGAAACAGTATATCTGAGTCACTTTGCTGTACAGCAGAAATTGACAACATTGTAAATCAACTATACTTCAATAAAATGAATTTTAAAAAAATTATTTTCTTGCCATAAAAACTCAGACACAAAGGTCCTTCATATACTTATTTCGCCATGTGGGGATAAGCCAAAATACTACTTGACCACTAAACAACACCCCACAACCTTCTGCTCTTCACCCAATTAATGCTCATTTTGTGCACATGTCAGTACACTGTTTAATTCTGCAACTATAAATAACTAAATGAACTACAATAAAGTTTTTTTTAAAGGTTATAGCAATTATTTTATCATTGCCAGTTAGCACTGTAAGAGTTTATGAGACTGGGGCCCCCAACACGACTTCTTATAAACCATACTTTTGTGGTACATGTGTACTAACAAAATTAATTGATTCTTGGTCCTATTGGCTGTCAATTTCAGAGCAGTGTTTTTCCCACAGTAAAAAAATACCTGCAGGGTATAGCACCGCCCAAAATTTCAGTAAACCTCACAAGAGCACATATTTGATAGGGTACAAAAACTTGCTAATGAAAGATCAGCATCAACATTGAAGAAGTCAAATAGAGCATAACTCAGAAGTCAAGATAGCTCATACTTAATTTTCTATAACTTTTTTTTTTTTTTTTTGCGGATCTTCCTGCACCGGGGCACGAACCCGTGTCCCCTGCATCGGCAGGTGGACTCTCAACCACTGTACCACCAGGGAAGCCCTAACTTTTTTTTTTTTTAAGGGTATCTTAGATCTCCACCAAAAGGAAAAAACGAGAAAAGAAAGTATACAAGTCTCGCTTACAGTTACACAGAGAGACGGGAGGAGGGAGAGAAGGTCACTTACTGGTCAGTGACCTCCATCCACATCATTCCAGCTCTGAAATAAGGTCATAACATGATGAGTCGTTCATTGTTTTCTTTAGTCTTCTGCTGAATGGTCTCTGGGGGATGTTCCTCATCTGGCCCTTTATCAGGCTTACCTAGAAGGCCAACAGCCCGCTGGGGCCTTTCCTCTGGACCCGAGCGATTTCCTTCTCTGCCAGATTGAGAACCTCTTCTGTGTGGGCCTTTAATGTTTGGTATCTTTGGCCTTCCATTTCACTTCTTAATTTGTAATCCTCAGCACACTTCTTCAGCCATTCTTCCTTCATGAGATAGCCTTCAGTCGCCTCCTGCTTCTCAAATTCCTTAAAAGTTCAGAGAAATATGCTTCATGGAATTTGTCTGTAGTAAGTTGACCTTTTTCTTTCTGACTTTCTAGATTTCAGCTTTGGCAAGCTGCTTCTGTTTCTGTACCTTCTCCATCACCTGGGTACACCCCTAAAAATCCGATCGTAATTTTCCCCATCTCCGAGCATTTTGCATGGAGCTCCTCATACTTGCTTTTCAGTTTCAGGTTCTCCATCTGCATGGCTTTAACTGCAACCTCCAGGTCCTTCTGAGTAAACTGCAGTACATCCATGAATGGGACCAGTGGGCAGGAAAAGGTCCGTAGCCTGAGGACACAAGGGGGAGAGTCCATCACAGGGATACCTGGAGCTCCTAAGACAGCAAATGCCACCAGCCTCACTTTAGGTGGTCTTCCTCAGGAAGGCTTGGCATCATGAATGTTGTCTATTTCAGTGGCCACAGAAACCAGTTTATTAAGGCTGTCTTTCAGAAGTGGGTCAAAGGAGGTATAAAGGACTTTTCTCAAAGCAAACTCTTTAGATGAGGACGTTCCAAACTACTCCAAATTCTCCACATCAGCCCCCATGCCTAGAACTATAGCTGGGGCTCTGGAGTGCTCTTCTTGGAGGTCCATGGCAGGCTCTGGCCCGTGCTGAGAAAGGAGAGCAGGGCCCACTGTCCAGACTGCTTATGTGAACCCATGCCCCCAAAGAATCCACTACCTGCTGCTCTGAATCTCCTCTGAGTGTGTGTTTCTTATCCTCAAGTGATTCCAATTTGCATCCCAAATTGAGAAGCACTGAGAAAGGACAGATTTTGTCCCCCAGCAGAAAGCCAGGTGAACTTAAGAAGGTGTTCATGCAAAAAAAATTGCACAATTGTCTAGTTTCTCTTGAGTTTGGCTTGTATGGCTTTACCTGATTTGGGCATTTTGTGATTTTCCAGAAAATCAGGCAACTCTCACATATTCAATTAAGGAATGCACTTGAGAGCCAGATGAGCATAATTTTTCGTAATGCTTTTGCTTTTATGTCTGTTATGCAAGTTGTTACGATTTGACTGTCTACCCTAAACCAAGGTTCATCTAATAACTTTATTTCAGACATCTTAATTTCTTGCTAACTAATTGAAGGTAATGTATTAGCAGAGCAGTGACTACCTCTGTAATTCAAACTGCAGATAACTATTAATTCAAGTTCAATGAAATCCTTCATCTTCCCTAAATCTTTTTCAAGTGGCCTGCTGTCAACAGTTCTCTGCAGTGATTCTCAAGCTTTAGGGAGCATAAGCGTTGCCTGAGAGATTTGTTAAAAAACACATTGCCCGGCCCTAACTCTAGAGTTTCAGATTGAGTGGGTCTGGGTTGGGACCCGAGAATTTGCATTTCTAACTAAAGTTCCTAGGTGATCCTGATGCTGTTGGTGTAAGGGTAAAATAAATTAGAAATGAGAAAAATATTTCTTTCTCCCTGGTGCAAAGAAAAAGAGAGCATTTACTTTAGAAAACTTGCCCTTGTGGACTCTTTCTCTGCCTTTTGAAATGTATGGAGATCTTTTTAAGGGCTAAATAAGCCTCTTTCCCATTTTACAATCCAGGAATTTCTCTTTGAAAGGGGACCCGGAGCCATCGTACAGAACTGGAACCGTCAAGAAGATAGCACCCCTTCCTCCCAGTTTCCTGGGAATATAGGAGCCTAACTTCAGCAGGTACCTGTCTCCAAAAACAAACCTACCTTCTGTCATAAAGATATGAGAAATTTATTTTTCCCTTATTTGAAGGCAGTTAATCCTCTTATTTGAGAATCAGTTACCCTTTATCTTGAAAACGTAGAGGTAATTGGTTTCATCTGCCTGGTTATGTAAATCGGTACCATTTCCTTTTGTTTTTGCTATCTATCCCCTTAGTGGCTTTTCTGTGGTTCACATTACGTTCTGGTTTAATGCTTATTCAAAATAAAACCCTTTTATTTCTCTTCTATCTTTGTGAAGAGGTTTTCTAGGTTGACCAGACATTTTGTTTTTAATTATATTTTCCCGACACTGGTCAGGGCTACACTTTGAGAACCACTGCACAGCATGAACCTACCTGTAGAATTTTACATTTCTCTCTAGAACTTTACCTTATTGGTTTCAGCCTGTGGTATTTTAGATCTTTGACTTTTTCAGTTTTGATTCTGTCATCCTCCTTACTTGATATCATCTACAAAATTGAGAAATTTATGTTTTCCATTAATCAGTTCAGAAAAGAGGCAGCAAGGGTCCCTGTAACATTCAGTGCTTACATTATTAATCACCAGACAACTCTCTATCATGTTATGTGCTGGTACTGCGGACACAGCTATGAGCAAGACAGTCCTGATTCTCCAGGAGCTTACAACTGGGAAGATAAAGAAACAGGCCATTCTAATGCAGGACTGCAGCAAGGAGGGGACAAGAAGAGCGCGCCTGTGGTAGCACGAAGTGGCACCCCTAAGCCAGCCTTGGGGGGTGTTAAGGACTGAATGTTTGTGTTCCTCCAAAATGCATATGTTAAATCCTAACCCCCAATGTGCTGGTATTGGGAGCTGGAGCTTGCCGGGAGGTAAGGAGATCCTGAGGGTGGGGCCTGCGTAACCGGCATTAGAGCCCTAACAAGAAAAGGCGGGAGAGCTTCCTTCCTCTCTCTGCTCTCTGCCATGTGAAGATACAGGAAGATGGCCATCTGTAAACCAGCATGCAGGCCCTCACCGGGCCCGGGACCTGCCAGCACCTTGATCTTGAACTTCTAATAGACTTGGAGACCACGTCGGCCTGCGTACATCTCCTCTGGATTTTAGGCAGCTGGGGCCTGAATTGCATTAATCTAATGAGAAAGGAAAGGGTTTTGGTTTAAGGTGGAGGCAACGGAAGTGGAGAGAGGAGGACAGATTTGAGGTATGTTTTGGAGACAGAAAAGGCAGGCCCTACAGATAAATGGATGTGGGAAGTGTTTCTTCCTCTCTCCCCAGTCAGGAATATTGCAGATTCCATTTCCATTTTTCTACATCCCCTGTTTTGTTCCTCTCCAAGAGAGAAGGAGGGAATAAAGTGATTGGTCAGAGCTCCCTAGTCTTTGGACATCCTTTTCCTTGTGGATGGATCTGGAGACACACCCGCTGTGCGCAGGCAGAGCTGGTCCTCTCATTCCTATTGTCGCTCTGCAGTTTGGCACTATGACAACAGACTCCTGACTACATC